TTTCTAAATTCAATTATTCTTCCACAAATTATGGAAGAAATCGAAATGGAGGATGCGTCTCGACTCCGTTAAGATCCAATCCCCTGACGAGATGTACGCTCGCTTGTGTGCGCGCGTGTGTAGGATGCCAGGATCCTGGGGACGTGGTTTATTGCCTGGTATGCGATAGCAAGTGTTTCAAAGCGATACTTTTGCTACTGTGCTTTTAACACCGACATCCGGTATGTAATAGAATTTTGCGAGATAATAGCTTGACATCTTTGATGCGCCGCTTCAAAAGAAGCATGGATCGTTCGAACGAGGCAAAAAGGATTTTATTTCTTATTGTAATTCATACTTTAGTACCGTTATTATTGGATGCAAAGTTTTACCGCATTGTCCCGGGAAAATTGACATTCATTGGTCGAACGGTAAATCGGAGGCACGATAATTAAAATGTAATTTACACTTCGTTTAGTTTATTACTACACTACATAAAGTGTGGAATGCGGTATAAAAAGCAATGGGAATTAAATTGTAATTATCACGTCGTGAAAGGATCGACATTGTTCAACGGTAAATTAGAAAATTCAACGAGGATTTAATCGATAAAAAACTTTTCCGAAAACTTTATAAACTTCTCTGTTATTGAATATTTTATCCATCCAATTGCAAGATTATCATTGCAAACGCGATATCCATTAATATAAAAAGTATATAGATAAAATTTGAACGAAATTCGTGCCAAGTCGTTCGATCATCGTGCATATGCTTATTGCACGCAATCATCAATGGCCATTCAAAAACTCCATTTTATTTCTCGAAACCAATCTTGTCGCTACAAACATAATCTCGAGGAGCATTCTGGAGGGTGAAATCACGCGGTAAGCGTAAGACGAGAAGATGCTCTCGCAAGAAATCTCACTCACGTTCGTTGCGGGACGAGGAGGATCCCTGGAAGGATTAGAACGTTGGTTCGAGGAGATAACGATTTATCCTTGGACTTGTTCAATTCTCGAGCGCGATACAATGGTGGGTATCAGGGTATCGATTGTCGAGAGAAAGTTAAGGGTAGTTTGATCCTGTGACGATCAAATTGCTGAGTTATGTTCCTTTGTCTGTATCGTAGTTTCAATAGGTGAAGGGATGATTTTGGTCTGAATCTGAGCGAGCCGGGGTGTATCATTGTGTGTTGGTATCGTGCTTGTTGTAATTATCTCAATAACAATACGTGAGGTAAGGAAAGGGGATGTAATATTCTGAAGATAAAAAGAAAAAAATTGTCGGTATGTGTAATGCGAGTACAGTGTGAATAATTCTCGTCGACGAAAATAGAAGAGAAATTATAAAATTTGAAATTTAAAAATGTTGGAATATTAACTCAGCTTTGTGAAATAAGCGGCATTTGTGGTTACTAATTTGCGTAGAATATAACTGTCGAAGCTTTCTCTTTTTTATTTTTATTGCGTTATCTTCTTCTTCTTCTTTTTCTTCTTCTTGTTCTTCTTTTTCTTTTCTTTTTCCGGGTCGTGGTAAAAATTTATCTATGCATATAAATGTTAAATAATTCTTCTGCAACCATATTTTTAGATAACAATTTGAACAATTTTTATCAATTTCGTGCTACCATAAATTGCATAAACTGTTGGAATCATAATAATAAGTTCATAAGTATCTAACGAAAAAAATTTTTTCTTTAGGAGAGCATAGCATAGCATAGCATAGGATCATAATTTCATCGGATGATTCCCCGAGACACGATCGGGAAATAATGGAATATTTTAATATTAAATCGGTCATCCAACATTTGTCTTTCGCTTTCGGAACGATTTCAACCCAGTAACCGACTTTCCAGTTGGCGGCAACTCCTTCGGGGCTCCCAAGACTGAAAAGTTGAGCAAAAGAGGGGAAATAACAGCGGTCCTATCAATCCGTGAAAACATCTTAACCGTGGGCCACGAAGGAGAAATATTATCGAAAGTGTAATAACGTTTATCGGACCACGGCTCCCTTATTCCTATTCAAGTAAAGGGAGAATGCCTCTTATCCCACGGATTCATTCCATTTTCGCTATTGTTTTCCATCGGTAAATAGCTCTGATACTGATACGTTTTCTGTTTCATTTCATAGTAATAATATCGAATTAAAAAATGTTAATTAGGAATATTAAAAATTTAAGACGTGCTTCATATAAATATTATTTGCTGCAATTAAGATTTTATGATATTATAAGAAGGGTAAAATGAATGGTAACGATATTTTTTATTCCATAGAGGAAAATATTTCAAGCGAAAAAGTTCAAATCATTGAGATGTAATATAAAAGCGTTACATCAAAATATATATACAATATACAACTAATTCTATTTCTTGGAAAAACAAAAATTTCTCTCTCAAAAAAAAAAAAAAAAAAAAAAAAAAAA